GAGTATCCCCTATGAAGGGTAAATCACTGCCCCTCGTCAGTGATTACTCTGTTTATTCCCTAGTAAGGGTACATCACTGCCCCTCGTCAGTGATTGCTCTGTTTATTCCCTAGTACGGGTACATCACTGCCCCTCGTCACTGATTGTTCTGTTTATCCCCTAGTAAGGGTACATCACTGCCCCTTACAGTTAGTTGTATAACTACTTCCCTAGAAAAAATAGAAATAATATAAACTCTTTGTTGTGCTGAATGACCAAATAAAATTATATGGTAATCTGATACACACGTCACTTTTTTAAATTACTTTAGACGATACAGTGACTGATGGGATTCGATACATTTCCACAGGAAAGTTTGTGAAAGTAAAAAAATACAGTGTCTGGTCAGTTAAGTCTATGTATGTAAATTAATCAGTGTGCAGATGTGTCACTTCCTGCTGAGCTGCCTTTGTTTCGACACTGACAGACTGCAATATCAATTCAATAATAGTAATTAAAACCAATATTGAGTGTCATTATTTATTGAAGATTTGTAATTAAGAAATAAATTTGAGACCTAAGCTAGCCCGTTATTTTCTCCTTATCCAATTGTAGTACAGCAATGCTGGGCAGGTCAATACAAACGTCTGGCCAAAACAAAACTCCACACACACAACCTCCACTTCTCTCCTAATCACCGGCTCAAGACATTCAACAAAATTCACTCAAATTTCTCTGGCCAACATTGAAATAGGTAGAGCCTCAGCAAGCGTTACCAGTGACTTGTGAATGTGTTTGACAGAGGATGATCGCTGGACCACTGATGCTGACTCTGACAGTAAGTACTATTGTTCACCCTTCAATATCTCCAACTGATCGCACCAGTATCCATGTTTTAGATAATTTTGCATTGATTTTTTTTTTTTAACTGGACAACTGGTAGTAGCCAGATGATGGCAGCTTGGACACTGTATGGTTGGCGAGAGATGGTAAGATGGCGCTGGTCTGGCATTTGGTCACACTTTGGCCGCGGAGAGCATCCGTCGCCTCCTTCATTTGTAATACCTTAAAACACTATTAACTTGACATGAAATATGAATTTTAAAGCAAAGGTTGACAGCATAAGTACAAATGCCAAATAAAACTACTACGTATATATACCTACACAGGGTTATTCAACATATTTCGCCAGTACAAGGTAATATATACCAGTATTGTATACACACATGTGGTCAAAACAAGCAATTTATTTTTCATGTGGTATAAATTATACCGAATAATTTTGAAATGATGTCCCCCATGATCTTTTATGACAATATTTAAAATGTTGTCATCAAGAATTATATATTTCTGGAATATTTAAGGATCCAGGTTTATCACATCTGTTGTATATTAATATTTAATATCGAGATCTAAAAGTAAATCTTAGCGCTGTGACATTTTGAAAGCCAATTTAAGGATTGAATTGCCGGATAATTTGGACCAGAAAGCTAACCTATCCAGGGTTGTAATTAAATCTGTTTATTTTCACCAGCCATGACAGAAGGGAAGGACAATGTATAGAAAGTTATAATTCAAGCGGAAACCGTCACCATCACTTTGTAATCTGGCCACATCTATTTTCATCAAAAATCTAAAAAATGTAGATTTTGAAACCTTAGAGAGTTAAATCCTGTAGGACTTTTTATTAGTGCAATTGACCTAACAATTTAAATAAAAAAATATTTAAAAAATGAGAAATGTGAAGAGAAAGACGAGACAGGAGCTGAGATACTCTGGGTCGGGTTTCTTCCAGAAGAGAAACTCAAAACCTATGTATTGACGTTAAGCATCTCCTCAAATCGACATAAATTTTTTATTCTGTTTCTACATTAAGCCTATGTCTTATCAAAGCTTAAATGTCATTAGTAAATGAAAACAGTTGTCGAGGTAGTTTTTATTCCAAATTAAGAGCAGTCATTCACATTTGATTAGTAAAAAGTGTCAAGGCGTTTTCTTTGAGTGTTTTATTTTATTTCTGAAGATGCAAGCATCTTGATGTAATGGAAGCGACACACACAGAGGGTTTACCTTACGGATAGAAGTTTCTCGCATGTTCAACAAATGATGAAAGGTTTGGAAATCTACCAAAATTTGAAAACTTCCAAAGAAAATCTTGAATAATCAATAAGATGTGTGATGTATGTCTTTGTAGGTATAAGCTTGTATCGCTGGGTCAATTTCCAGAGATTAAATGTAATTTCATCTGGTTAACCTAGAACACACCACACAGTCCAAGTAAAAAAAATACATCCAATTAGTATATTAATTCTGATACTGTTACTCATAGACAGTTCAAAAAAACAGGACAATTAAGTATTAAATGTGGGATAAATGGAGACTCTGCAGGTACAAACTGGAACTTGTAAATAATTAATAGTCAAAGTTATCTCATGAAGATGTTGGTAAGATTAATGTTTGAAATTGTCATATTTTTCGAGACATATATTTGTTATGAGCTGTCAATGTCATCCGTGGACAAAAGCATAGACACAGCCCGAGGACCGACAGCCAAGCTTGGACAACTCCACTATAGAAGGAGATATGTAGTTTTTTTCTGTGTTTAGCCTACACCCTGAGTCATAAACACAGGTTTTTAGCCTCCGGACATTTTCATTGTTCAAGTTCAATTTTTTATTGACTATACAGCTAGCAATACTGAATAGAAATCCAAACATGCATAATTAAATGATGATAAAATCTTAAAAACTATCGCCATAATCATCAGAATAATGATCACTTTCAACACCAACACGTTGTAAATCTCGCACAATTCACAGATGGCAAATCTCGACTATTTTATCATTAGAAAAAATGTCCTATATGAAAACGATAAAAATGGAGATATAAATTGATGGGGATTTTTTTCAACAGGTATTGAATTTCATCTCGACTATCACACATCTAGCTTCCAGTATTTGCATAAAGTATTGTTGTTGTTATTCACTCGTATATATTGTTTGTTTTCACATTAATAAAACATAACATCCAATAAACTTGGTATCGGTACAGTCAGTAATTGCTTTTAACGATAAAACACAAAAAAGTCACACTATGTCAACAAAAAACAAAAATTATGGTAAATATCACAAATGTTTGAATTTACTTTTCATAAAATTCATTTTCCCATAAAGTAGAGGCCGCAACCTCATCATAATTACCATAAGTAGCTACTTAATTCCTGTAATGCAATTTGAACATCTCATTACCTCCAGGACTTCATTTATAAATCTAATTAAGTGGTGTAATGAATTGTAATTAGGAATTGTTTGGAAAACTTTGCCATTTATATTTTTTTCTGTAAACTGACAGTCTTGATTTTTATAACAAATTAGGTAATTAGCACCAAATATATGCCATAGTTAACCAATCACTTATTCATAAGCAGAAAGATGACATAATCGTAAAAGTAAGTGTTGAAATGAAGAGTCGTAAAATTGTTTTACTGAGCGTCTGTCTACAGCCGCACATAAAAAATGCAGCCTTGTCCTCAGTATTGTACATATTTGTCAATTCAATCCAACTCATTAGAATGGGGCAAGGACCCCCATTTTTTCTGTTAATTAAACAGCTTAAGGGGTAATGTGGTAACAATTCTCCTCCCTCTCTCTGTCAATACTAATTGTGTCAATTGATTTTAACCATAAACTTTACCAGGCCCATCCTTAGTGAATTCTTTTGAAATTTTGGTGTTCTGGGAATACTACGTCTCTAATTCTGTTTTGCTTCAAAAAAATATCATTGAAATTGATATCTTGGAAAAGAAAATTTTGTGTAGAATATTATAACTGACATTTTGAAACTTTACTAAGGCAATTATTCCTAACATCATTTTTATTTGTAATTTACCTATGAAATTATATATGTACATGTATAAATCACTTGGACACGGAAGATTTTGACTGTTAGCTACAAACACAATGTATTATGAGGTATTGGATAAGAGTAAGTGCCCTTTATGAAGTACTAACAGCCTTTAGCCTACCCATATGTCACAGATGACAGGACACTTATGTCATCCTCGTACTTTTAGATGCTGCCTCATTCAACCAGTAACAGTGACTGACGGAACCTATTTGGATAAGTTGTCCAAGTGTAGTTTTTGTTGTTCTCCAAAGACAGACTTCTGTCTCTTTGATAAGTTGTTGTGTGTAGTTTTTGGTTGTTCACAAATGACAGACTTGAATTTCTTTGAAATTTTGTAATTTTTATGTTGTTCACCAATGACAGGACAACCGTTGATGAGATGTCATTGTGTGTGTAATTCATGTTTATCACAAGTGACAAGACTTTATTTTCCTTCAGTATTTTATTTTGTGTAGTTTTAATGTTTTTCACCAACAAAAGACTGAACCTCCTTCAATACGATGCCATTGTATCTCATTTAAACAAGAGGCCCTAAGGCACCACTCACCTGGCTGTTTTGGAAGTGAGGTTGAAATCTGTCCAGTAGTTTTGGATGATAGCCCCAAGGAATGCTGGCCACTTCATTTGTTTAACATTTAATTCTTATGGGCTAAGGATGCTACCACAACAGTTTGGCTTAAATCTGCCCATTAATTTAGGACAAGATGTTGTTTGAATCATTCACCCCTGAAATTTCATAATGAACTTTTCCAACCATTGAATTGGAAGAGTTCAAATGTGTCTTCAGGGGTGAATGAGTTAAAGAAAATTAGCTGAATTGATCCCTTTTGACCTTGTCTCTCTTCCCCCAAAATAGTCATCCTCTTTATTTTTGTCACTTTTGATCCCATGTGCTAAACATGCTACCACCACAATTTGGTTGAAATTTGGTCAGTAGTTTAGGAAAGGATGTCTAAATTCAAAAGTTGATGAAAGACAGAGGACAGACAAAGCACCATCATAAAAGCTCACCATCAATGACAAACTGAACCGTCTTTGATAAGTTACTATGTGTACTGATTCCGTTGTTAACCAAGGAGCCTTAACCATTTTTGATTGGTTGTCATAGTGTTTTATAATTCTCTTTTATCAAAAGCCACAGTCCCACAAATGTTGGTATTTAGTAAATTAGCTGTTGCCATACAACATCACGATGAAATGGAAAAAAAGTCATAAAACAGTTGGAGATTTAATTGAAATGTATACACATTTATTGAGGAAGCAGCTCTTATACAGCCACATTTATTCTGTAATGTACCCTCATACTAATACACATTAAGTAACAATTAACATGTGTGTAATCAAATTATTCCAGTGTATGATAAAGTTTTGGGCTTTGTAAGATTTGTAAGACCAGGATAGTGTCTGTGGTATCTTAAGACTGTGTGGCTATCAGATGCCAGTCCAACTTCACAATGTTCATCCACAGACCAGCTTTAACATCCACAAATATACCTCGGTACAGATGCGCCACCATTCCTTCCAGCAAACCTGAGTGTCAGAGATACAAATTATTCCAGGGAGATATGTGTGATAAAATCTAGATAATCCTCTCCCTCTTTTTGAAAGAAGTACTGGTAGAACAAAAGGCCTAATACAAGGGGAGTAATTTGAGATTCCACAAGATGCTGGATCTTGTCCAAAATTCTTTATGATATCCATCAGTTAAACACCCCCATCCAAACTGATCAACTCTCCCTGGGTAACAGTCTCTAGTCCTGCACTGCGGGCTGCTCAAATGACAAACATTGTCAACATTCTTACAACTTTCTATAAAACATTGGAACCTAAACAATAAGTCTCCACATGCATTACACACATGTGCAGCTTATTTCTGGTTTAAGTTACTTTGTTGAACATCATTTTCCTTGCTTATTTTCTCACTTAATCTCCTAATGTGTATATGATAGCTTGTGCTATCCAGGCGTTTTGATGAATCAGATTGGATTTACACATCAGGGTCAGGTCAAGGTTTTATTTGTCCAGATTGGTCAGAGCCTTCTGCTTTGTTGTGTCGGAAGTCAAACAGTTTTTGACCTGGCAAGTTTGAAATGGACATAGGTCACTTCGATGGAGGCCAAATTCATGTCACATCGGAAGACATTGCTGCGGTCAACTGGTCACTCACTGTTTGTCCAAAGTTTTCATGTCATCATCTGCAAGAATAGGTGAAAGGTTCACAACACTAACCAGAGATACCTGCCAGTACCAATGAGGTACCCATACCAGTTAAATTACCTACTTAGTAAACCCTTATATACATAGGTAACTAAGACAACAGTGTCATATAAACTTAAAACTATCTCAAAATACAGCTTTGGTAAATTCTTACACTACCCCAACTAATAAAAATGTCAAATAAAATAATTACTAAACTAGAAAATGCCTATAAGACATGAATGTCCCTACTCCCATTAACATGAAGCACTATTTGACAAATTTCTATATATAGTAATGGTAACCTTGGCATTGACCTAGAAACCCTGAAATACAAACTGCAAAGTTTTATCAAAATCTGTAAAGAAATGAAGTTGCTAGATTAATGTCAATGAAAAGGTTGACAAACTTCCATAATTAGTAACGATGACCTTGGTCTGTCTAAGCTTGCCCTTAATTTATTTTTTCTACAATGAATGTTTTCATAAAAAAATATATAAAACAAAAGCCATTTGTAACTTAAACACTGTCTTATATTTCAAAAGATGATTAATGTCTATCAAAATTTATGGTTTCAGCATAAAATGTTCGGAGATTGTGGTAAGTGTCATGATCCTCTGACCTGTTCCACATCTGTAAATGATAGAAAACAATATAAAACTGTGGTGAAAACATGACGCAGATGCTTTAACTTTAACTTTTAAAGCCCTGTTGTGTTTGTCAGCTGAAGGTGACCGCCTGAGTCAGACCTCAGACTGGTGTGTCAAAGATTACTAACGACTTTAAATACACAAGGCGGGATTCCAAATTTTCAACATTTTGGATTTTTTTTTGTGGGTGGCCTGGAGAAAGGTGAAATCAGAGATTGACCAAGTCACTTTCACTTTCTGTGAGTATAATTGAATTATATTGGAATCGCTCCCCCCTTTCCCCCCTCCCCCCCNCCTGCCATCAATCAAAGAACATGTTCCAAAGTACTGTCTGTATATGAATTATTAACATCTACAATAATCAAGGGTGCTCATCTGGTCATTTCCTATTTCGACCAAAGCCAACATGTTGGTATGAAAAACGCCACCTCAAACCAATAATTCTTCTCTAAAATATCAAAACAGAAGGTGTCTAAACTGAATATGTTATGATGAAGATTTGATTAAAAAAGTGATTGTGTGTATAACATGGTAGAGTAAAGGCCGACACCACAGCGACGCAGTGTAAGTACAGATAACACATGGACGAATATAGCCAGACTCCAGCAATCAGACGCTGACCAATCGGGACCCATCTCTGCCACAGTAGATGACACACTTATCTCTGGCCACCTCGCTGATTATAGAGGATTTGCCAAATAAATGTAATATTAGCAAAGAAATGCTTCACAAAAAAAATCCATTTCAGTGAAATTGTCAAATGATGAAGACGGTTTTATTTTGTGAAAGCAAACGGATTACAAAATAAAACATACATTTATATTGATGTACGTTTCTATGAATGTTCAATGAAGTAATAGTCTAGAAAGTTATCTTTATCTTAAAAATTCATATCTAAGGAAAGAGAAAAATGCATTGAATATTTATCTTTTACCTAACACAAATGGTCACAAGATTTCTGTAGCTTCAGTTTCACCGCAATGGCCATGCATAATACGTCTCCAAGATCCAGCCATTGTGTAACCAGCCCTGTCTACGACTAAAGCATTTTGGCATGTTCCAGTAACCTTTAATCTCTGGGATTCAAATAGCCATCAAAAAGTGAGAAACACAATGTCTGTAAATGCAACAATCATAACAATTCAGAAGCAATACGTCACCAAATGTGAGCTGATCGCGGGCAATACAACGTATAATTTCTGATGACATGACGTCTGCCCTGGAGGAAGTCCAGTGTCACACCCAGACATAGGGCTGACACTACAGCACTTTAATTCAAAAATAAATCTTATTGGCTAAAAATATCTAGTAAAGTCTCGTTTGCCGATGACAGAATCTATTCCGCAGTAAAGATGGTCTATTCAATATCACTAATGAGGTGGTGTTTCAAAATATTTCAAACATCAGAAAGGTCACGAGATCAGCCTGGAGCTCTGAGTAAGTGGGCCATGTCAAGTGAAGGACACAGACTTTGATACCACCGTACTGCAAACAATATGGCTAAATCCTCATCTAATAGCACCAATTTACCAGGACAAAGATACCTCAGTCCAGACTACAAATGGTGTCAAACAGAACTAAGAGTCCATAATCAAGACTACTACTGGTGTTACCTGGTAGTAAAATGAGACAAACGGTCCACAGCTCAGATTAGTCCAAGGTCAAAGTCTAGTTCTGGTCCAAATCTTCAAAAGGCAATTCTATTACTGGTCCTCATCAAACATGACAGAGAGTCCATAGTTAAAGTCTAGTTCTGGTCCAAATCTTCAAAAGGCAAATCTATTACTGGTCCTCATCAAACAAGACAGGGAGTCCACGGTCAAAGTCTAGTTCTGGTCCAAATCTTCAAAAGGCAAATCTATTACTGGTCCTCATCAAACATGACAGAGAGTCCATAGTCAAAGTCTAGTTCTGGTCCAAATCAAAAAGATATGTGTTACAACACAAGTCTATTACTGGTCACAATCAAACAAGATAGAAAGTCCACAGTCCAGACTGCTTATGATGTTGTCAAACAAATAAGATAGACTCAGTCGATAGAAACAAGACAGACACAGTCCAGAATATTACCAGTGTCAATCAAACAAGACGGCCACAGTCCGGAATACTACCAGTGTCAGACTAACAACAGACACAGTCCAGAATATTACCAGTGTCAATCAAACAAGGCAGACACAGTCCAGAATACTACCAGTGTCAATCAAACAAGACAGACACAGTCCAGAATACTACCAGTGTCAGACAAACAAGACAGCACAGTCCAGAATACTACCAGTGTCAGACAAACAAGACAGACACAGTCAGGGATACTACCAGTGTCAATGAAACAAGACAGACACAGTCCAGAATACTACCAGTGTCAATCAAACAAGGCAGCACAGTCCAGAATATTACCAGTGTCAATATGGGATGATTGTTCAGGGTAAGGGGGGTTATCAGACACATGAACATCCACACCGTCCTTACTCTCGTCCTGTGCACACATGTGCCCCTCCCCCACATTCAAACAAGACAGACACAGTCCAGAATACTACCAGTGTCAATCAAACAAGACAGACACAGTCCAGAATACAACCAGTGTCAATCAAACAAGGCAGACAAAATCCAGAATACTACCAGTGTCAGACAAACAAGACAGACACAGTCTAGAATACAACCAGTGTCCATCTAAGAAAATCATCGCTGTAAAACAGCTGCTTATAAACTAGTTTCTCTCAAAATATCTGTCAAGTCCTTTCAATTGTCTAAAGGTCAAGATGGTCAGCTTGTCAGTTGTCATGACTCATCTGACCATCACACATACAACAGGCACTGACTTCATATGAAGCTGTCTTAAAATTCCAAAACCCCAATCCTGAGCAATCCTTCCTTTAAAGGCCTGGACAGAAACCTTTGATTTCACTGAACCGTTGCAGATAGCATCAGTTGAGTTAAAGCCATGTGATATACACCCCTTACAAGGTAGAACAGCTTGTAGTTTTACAAGGCATCTGACAGCAGTGTACATCAGGTAAACATATAAAGGACAGTTATTTAAGACTCCATACTGATGTGTTGATGTAAATGAGTCATCAAGGTGCACTGTTCGTGGAGGTGACAGGTAAAACCTGTGTGCATCCCCCGTAACACTTGTTGTGTGAGATAACAGCGTATTGTTGCAACATAAAAGGATCGTACGGATCAGAGGAGGCAGCTAAGAATGGGGACAAAAGCTTTTGCCACCTCAGGAATGAAACTACGGGGACATTATCAACCCAAACGACACTGCATGTTGGGATGTCACTTATTCACTGGGAAGTTACAGAATCAACAGATTGTAATCTTTGGGGTTAAAACCCAATTAAATGCATCATCCGTCCAGCATAGCTGCACAGTTACTGTGCAACCACCATAAACAAGTCATGCGAGTCCCGGAGCTCAGCGTAATGAGCTATTTTCACACAACGTAATTGTACGGCGCCGCGACCAGGGCCCCATACAGACACACATCGCACCCCTTTGTTGCGGTTGGATAATAAATTACTGTGGTTTAGGTAGCTGCAATGAATGATGCAAAGATGCACCGCATTAGCACCACAAAAGGCATTAAGTTTGTCACTGGATTTCAATAAAATGAATTTCCAAGTAATTGGATGCCGTATTAAACAGGCAGATTTCATTTTCTATTCGATTCCTATACAGCACCGTTAAAGCTTTAGAAAAGCTTTCTCTCTGTTAGAGAAGACATGACATTCTTTTTGATTTTTGATTTCAAATTGGTATGAGATTTTTTTCTCCAAATCTTTCATCTTATTTCAAGTTTTTCTTTTTTTACTTTAATAGCTTGCATAGTAAAATCATCCGGGTGATGTAAGGACAAGCGAACATCGACCTAATCGTAGCTAGACTTTTAAAGGCATGCGAGGACAGCTACACTTCATGATAGATGCTATTACAGACATGACTCAAACAAATCTAAAAGAAAATCAACAAACATTGGAACAGTTAGCAGAATCGTCCTTTAATCCTCAACAGTTTTATCCCCGAGTTTGCCAATTACCACCAAGCTTGTCTCTGAGTAACCATTTGGAAGTGCTCCACATTTGTGATCCTTTAATTTTCTATAGTCTGACAAATTTTGACTGACGCAATTTCTTACCTTTATGAAACAGCAATCGCAGCTTCCCTTCTTCCTCGGGTCTTTGTACTGGTCACTCCAACCTGGCAAATAGGCAAGATGGACATTGTACCATTGGTCAATTATCAAAATGGCCACACATTACCATATTTTGAAAAGAAGACTATTGTTACGGTATTGTTTCACCATATTGTTGACACGTGATGAAATTCATTTAACTCATTCATCCCTGAAATTTTACAATGAACTATTCCAAACTTTGAATTGGAACAGTTCAAATGCATCTTCAGGGGTGAATGATAATCAATCAAAATTGAACTTTAATTAATTTACAATAATGAAAAGCCATTTCAAGCTTACACTTTACCTAGACATCAGTTATTAAGTTGTCAGTTGTACCTAAAAAAATGTGAAGTTCATTAAATTCTTAGTTTCACATCTGATATTCAAATTGAAACAAAAAGTGGTTCATTTCAATTCTTAAACAGAAACAAAACATCTGACAGTTGAAAGTCAACAAGAATTAGGTTACACGTATCGTCAAAGTTTTACTTATAGCATGTTGGTAAACTTATCCCTAAGTCACTATGATCATAAATAAATCAGAGATATACATTAATTAGAAATGTGCTTAAGAACACTTCAGACCATGATGGTTTTGAATCATTGGGTCATTTCATGTTTTTCCCTCCTTACTCTCTAATACATACATCGCTATACATGTTGTTCCTGGCTTTTGAGGATAAATAGACATTGGATAATATTTTCAAAACACATTTAACAAATCTATCACATGCTCTGAATTAAAGTGGAAGTCAAGTGTTGTTCAATTATCCATTTCTTCAAGACAGTGTGTCTTGTAAAACCATGTGTGATATTACTGGTTGTCATTTTAAGTCATATGTTGTTAAGTTAGTGACATAAAAATTGAAATTTGGGTCAATTTGGGGCATATGTGTGCTATTGGAGAACGAATATGTGTTACTGGGGAGCGTATATATGTGCTACTAGGGAAAAGGACTCCGGTGTTAATATCCAATTTTTCTCAAATTGGTTCCGTGAATTTCCAAAATCTTTTTTGACCTCTAACTAGGGGAAGGGGGCAAAACAAATCATAGAGCCACCCTTGGTTGACTAAATTTGTTTGTAAGTAAGAAGGACTTATGGTAGACAATCTTTTGAGATTTTCAATCTTTCATCTACTATAAGGCTTATTATATATATGGTATGGAAAAATGAAACATTCATCCCTTAAGCTTCTAGTAACTTGTATGCAAAAATGACTAATGTGTCCTTTTGAGAACACCTTTATCTTCTAGAAAATTGTATGCAAAAATGACAAATATATCCTTTCAAGAAAGAACACCTTAATCTTCTATTAAATTGTATGCAAAAATGATTATAAAATCCTTTTGAGAACACCTATTTTTTTTTATTATTATCTATTAAATTGTTTGCAAAAATGACTAATACATCCTTTTAAGTACACGTTTATCTACCAGTAATCTTATTACACCGTACATGTAGCCTCACAAGGTCAAACGTCCCACATCGAGGCTGCATTAGTGTTGTCCTTTTAACAGACTATACCATGATACAATCAGTGTTATATCACCTAATCACCAACAGCATGCAATAAAGGCCCAGTTTAAAGAAACTCTCTGTTTCATTTGGACCCAGGTTCAACCGGTGCTGAAGATGACTGGGATAACATTTCAATTCATTTAAGTCCTTCTCCTCAAGATTTGTGGTCTATCTTCTGTAGTAATCATGTAATTTCTTAAATAATCAAAGAAAATAATTTGACTTTGTAAAATTATAACTGCTAACAAAACCAAGTTGAGCCAATATGTCTACAGGTTCCTAATTAGTCTAAAGTCTTGCCGTTAGTAACGCTTCTGTCCGCTTCGAGTTGATCTGTCAAGGGTTATCTTTAAACTTAATCTTATACATTCATAATTGATGCCAGGATTTAATTTTAACATAGGTGCAAATTTGCCAATAATGATAAAAGTTGTACACCCTACATTGAACCTTCATTTCAATCATGTCAAGTGATCATTACTCCAATGACCTAACTTGACCTTTGGTTGTCAAGAAAGAGATCCATCGCTTAATGTTTCTATGACATCAAAAAATTTTGTATCTCCAAAGAATCCAAAAGAGTACAGAGGCATTCGAAATTAACAGCAGATTGATAGATGGGGTCTACAAAAAGTCTGGTCTGTACACTATTATATTCTAAGTTATGTAGACTTGTTATCTTAACAACTTTCAGTTATGTGTGGACTGAAATTTTGTGAGAAAGTTATATAATTACCTTTAAACTTATAACTGTGTGTATGAGGAAAACATTGAACAGGGTCATAATCTTTTTATGTTGGAAGGCATAAACTACAAGAGTTCTGATGATACAGATGATCACAATAACAAATTGTTGTATTTTGTTATCGAATTTAGAGATGCCCATGATGACGAAACAAATTTGCTAGACCTATTGTAGATATAATACTATTTAGCTAAATTTATAACACTGGTACAAGTAGAAAGGTTGTCTTGTCCTTTCTAGAGTATCTATAAGGGTGAAATTGTAGTTAACTTATATATTTATTAACACAATATTTCCTAAGAAATCTAACTTCTGAAGTTTTCAATCCTTAAATTATCAAAGTTGTGGGGACTTACGAAGACGAAAAACCAAAAAATGGGGTATTCATATTAACGAGTTAAAATACAGGGTCATAAACTGACTTGGAAACTCAACGTTCACCTGGAGATAAACATACTATCCAAAAGGTTTTAATTCTTAATGATTTAATAATTAACTTCTCACAACTGTTCTGTATCATGGAGAGAGGTGGCATAGGTGCCAATGGAATATGGTTAATGGATATACCTTCGGGCTGACTATAACATATTACTGTGACAAAATGAAATGGTTCTTGATTATGTCATTGTAAAGATGACAAGCTAGTGACATTGCATTGCAGTATGAAAAATTGACTCCTGAACTGAACAGCTGTGTTTTAGAGCTATTAACTAAATCATTTAAAGTTTAATAAATATTGTCCACCATGTCAAAAGAGAATGATTTTATCGTATACCGCTCAAAGCTCATTGCGTAATTTCAATTATAAAGTTGAAGAGTTAAGCCGATATGACATTATCTAATAAAGTTAAATGAAAAGTTCAGCTTATAATCTATATTTCATGCAAACCATCCATAAATAGCAGAAATTTCAAAAGCTTTTTGACTTACAGCCTATTGTAAGATTAATATCTGCGACCACACCTTCAAAACACCATGCACTTATCCCCTCCCTTTAAATCTCAATTCAATTCTGCTAAAACTGTCATGATTAAGGATACTCTTCAGGCGTTTAATGTATCAAAAGGGAAAGACACGGGACAAGAAATGACGGAGGATTGTTTGCTTGGCAGGTCAAAACATTTTGGTATGTTAACTTTGGCAGACTGACCCAGTTGTTGAAACGTATGAACGTCCCCCAGACTTGGTCAAGCCACCAAGATTTTATTTCATTTCCAAGTGACTTTCTAACTTATTTCGAAGAGTCATGGGTAAAGGTGTTGAGCTTAAATGGTAATGAAACATGTTAGCATGCTACATATAGGGGGCATACATTTACTGATAGCCAATAAATGTCAACTCACATACATTAGGTTCAGTGTAAGGAGCTGGAGTGGGGTGGTTGTTTATAATGCTATCTGCCAGTGTGAATTGAAACAAAGGTTTTGATGTTTGGTGGTGAGAGGAACACAATATTGCCATTAATCTTTATGACATCAAAGCTTGTGAAACTGCAGGGTAGTCAGATGAACAGATGATGCCCTGGTCCCCAATACTGTCGGCAGGACAAGTTTTTACATGGGATTACATTTGTCTTACATTAATGTTCATCATCTCTAATCCTAATGACAACTAATTGCAAAATAAAACTTTGTACAAGATGATTATCACAATTGTACAATTTCTTACACACTCTAAAGCCCATCACAATTGTACATTATTTGTACATGCTTGGTGTTCATCACAATTGTACAACTTTGTATGTGTAACTTTGTACATGAAGACCTTGTGTTCAACTTTGTAATTGGCCTTGTGTTCATCAAATGGTACAACTTTGTACATACTGACCTTGTGCTCATCACAACTGTACAAAGTTGTACAATTATGAAAAACTCAAGGCCATTATGTACAAAGTTGTACAATTGTGAAAAACTCAAGGCCATTATGTACAAAACTGTATAGGCGTTGTGTTCATCACAATTGCACTACTTTATACATATTGGCCTTGTGTTCAACACAATTGAACATATTGTGTTTTCTTTTGTTTTTGCATGTAGTGAAAGACAGGAGTCAATCTTTGATACTAATAGTATACAAGATTCAATAATTACAAGTATGGTATCCATTGCACAATGTTTGATCTGTACAATGTATTACAAAATAATTACCCTATGCTGTCACCTGAAGAACAAAGTATTATTCTTAAGTTCTCAGTCTCAACACACATCTTAACAAAGACATAGTATCAGGCTGGAGTTTTCTACCTAGACCAAGTAGTACAGTATAAGACTTGAATTAATAAATAATATTGTTCACAGGAAGTAGTATTAAGGCTCAAGTTGTCTTCCCGCAGGTAATATAAGTAATATGAGGCTCTGGCTGTTTACCTACAGGAAGTAGTATAAGGCTCAAGTTGTTCACCTACAGGAAGTGGTATAAGGATCAAGTTGTTCACCTACAGGAAGTAGTATAAGGATCAAGTTGTTCACCTACAGGAAGTAGAATAAGGATCAAATTGTTCACCTACAGTAAGTAGTATAAGGCTCAAGTTGTTCACCTACAGGAAGAAGTATAAGGCTCAAGTTGTTCACCTACAGTAAGTAATATAAGGCTCAAGTTGTTCACCTACAGGAAGTAGTATAAGGCTCAAGTTGTTCACCTACAGGAAGTAATATAAGGCTCAAGATGTTCACCTACAGTAAGTAGTATAGAGTTTGAATTATTCACCTACCGGAAGAAGTATAAGGTTTTAATTGTTTACCTACAGGAAGTGGT